TACCTAAATTATTCTGTATAAAAAGTGGAAAATCACCTAATTTTTACTCAGTTATTATCAGAAAACATGTCTAAAAACATCTTAATTACTATATGCTATATTCTCGAGTGACCATCTATCTATATAAACAAAATAAATAAGACACTCATTTCATGTCCTACAACAATTTTATTAGATAATAGTGAAATAAAATTGTTTATATACATGTGTCACATCTTTATATATAACAACTAAAATAAGATATCAAATTGAATTGGAATTCAAAACAAATATGTTGGAAATTTGGAATTAGCGCAGTAACACTAGTGGCAAGTCAAGATGTTGAAGAAGCACTAGTGTAGATATTATTTTTTTTTTCTTTTTCTAATCAAACCTTTACGTTATTAATGAAATGTTCATAGAATATTATATTTCTTTGTTAGTTTCAATTTTATAAGAATGCAAATTCATTTTATTAAAATTTAAAAATAATATACAAATAAAAAAATATGTCTATTTGGTTGAAGAGCGAACTTTTTTGTGTTAGTTTTAATTTTACAAGAATGTAAATTGATTTTAATACAATTTCAAAAAATAAAAAATATGTCTATTTTGGTTGGCGGACAAAATCCCATACCAAAAATCCAACCATAAATACCTAGACCAAAATTGTGAAGCGTATCTTTTTTTCTTTAATTGTTGTAGGCCAAAAATATGTTTATTTTGGTGAGTGATTGCATGTTGTTTGCGGATGACATAGTGTTAGTAGATGAGAGCGGGGAGATAAATGTTAAGTTAGAAACTTGGGGAGAGACTCTTGAAACAAAGGGTTTCATAATAAGCAGTGCCAACACGGAATATATAGAGTGTAATTTTAATAATCAAGTGAGTAATAATGATATAGGAGTTAAAATTGGAGAACACGAACTGAAACATCTAAAAGTTTTAAATATTTAAGATCCATTATGAAAGATAAATAGGTAATGGCAACGTAGTTAAGGATGTAACACATCGAATTCAATCAGGATAGAACAAGTGGAGGAGCGTGTAGTCGATACTTTGTGATCGTAAAGTATCAGTGAGTGTGAAAGACAAGTGCTATCGAACGACCATTCGACTGACGATGCATTATGGATTTGAGTGTTGGATTACTAAATATAAAAATAAAAAAAATGCGAGCGACGTAGATGAAAATGTTGAGATGAATGTTTGGGCATACTAGGTTATATAAGATTAGAAATGAAAATATTAGAAATAAAGTTGGCATAACACTCATAGAGGATAAAATGAGGGAATTGCGATTAACATGGCTTGCGCACAGGGCCGTCTCCAGAAATTTGGAGGCCCCAGACAATTTTTTCAAGAGAGGCCTATAATTGTATATTTATGTTTTTTATTTTCTTAATTGAACAAATAATAATAAATATCGTTAATAATAAATACGAAAAAAAACCATGAATATATGAGAAAAATAAGTAAATTAGAATTCAAAAACTTACAACCTTCTCGCTTTCTTTTGTACAAAATTATCAATCAAGTCACCATAATCAAGTTTTGCAACCATTTTTTTTTCAATGGATAACATCGCCAAACCATTCAATCTATCCTGAGACATAGTTGATCGAAGATAATTTTTGATCAACTTCAGCTTGGAAAAACTTCTTTCAGCAGATGCAACAGTAACCGGGATGGTCAACAATATTCTGTAAGCTACCCAGGCATTAGGAAAACCATAATACAAATTTTTGATATACTCTAAGGGGTCGTTTACTTCGGATGATTGGGATAGGATAAGGGAAATAATTCCCGCTATCTCACGTTTACTCCGTGGGAAAGGGATAGGATTCGTATGACATGGCGTCCATGTGGCACTCCCATATCGGCGAATTTCGGACAAATAAATCCCGGCCCACCCACGTGATATTTTAATCTCGATTTTATCCTACCCTTTTTGCCCTCATATTTTTGTGTAATGAGACAAAAATACCCCTCCATTTCGCCGAATTTACAGTTTTATTCCAAATAAAAGGCAAGCATTTGCCCTAGCTGCAGAAGATTGGCGACGCCATTGTTGGGAAGAACCGAAGAAATTAAAGCTTCTGAGAATCGTAAGGTGAGTTCCTCTCTTCTACTCTCATTTTCAATTTCGATTTCATTCGATTTTCGCAACATTCGTGGAACAAAAATTGAAGACGACCAATTTGCCCTAGGTTCTGCAGAAACGAAGACGAGCATTACCCTAGCTTTGGCTTCTCCATCGCGTTTACAAGTGAGCTCCAAAATTGCTATTTACCTTCTCAATTTCGATATTTA